CAGCAGTGTACTTCATCCATCTGCCTGTTCTGTTCCCTTCTGTTTCTGGTGAATCCTCTCACTGCCCCTACACTTCTGGCTTGTATCCCAGTTCTGTATCAATAAATAAATAAATCTTAAAAGAAATCATAAGAGATAACAACAAAATTGGGCCACCTGAGAGAAATTAATAAATTCCTGGAAACATAACCTACCAAGACTGAATCACAAGTTAAGTGAAAATCTGAAAAGACCAATAATGAAGAAAGAGATGGAGTTAGTAATCAAAACCTCTCCACAAAGAAAAACCCATGACCAAGTGGTTTCACTGTGAATTCTACAAACATTTAAGGGATTAATGTCAATCTTTCTCAACTCTTCCAGGAAACTGCAGTGGAGGGAAACCTCCCAAATTCATTTTACAAAGTCAGCATTACGTAAAACACCAAAGCCAGACAAGGACACTACATGGAAAGAAAAACTTAGGCCAATATCCCTGATAAATACAGATGCAAAAATTTTCAACAAAATAATAGCAAATCAAATTAAACAGCACATTAAAAAGAGCATCCACCATGATTAAGAGAGAGTTATCATTGGGACTCAAGGGTGGTTTAACATACTCAAATCAATAAATATCATGTTTCATTAATAGAAAGAGAAAATTCATCTCAATCGACCTAGTAAAAGCATTTGACAAAATACCACATCTATTGATGCTTTAAAAAAAATTTTTAAATGAATATAGAAAGAATGAACCTAAGGAGATAGGACAGTAAAGTTCAGGTGGGAGAAAATGCAATTTATTGGACAGTAAAACTCTTACACATCTCATCATTGGAAAATACTAAGCAAAATGCCAGACCAAGAAGTGGAAGGAACCCAAATGTCCTTCAATGGATCGATGGACAAACCAAATGTTGTTTGTGCACACACACACTGGAATAGTATTTGGCTGTGAAAAAGTAAGGGAATCCTGGCATATGCTATAACATCCATGAGTCTTGAGGACACTCGGTGAAATAACCAAGTCACAAAAGAGAAATACTGTATGAGTCTACTTATATCTAAATAGTGAAACTGGTAGAAAGTGGAATGATGGTGTAAAGGTATGAGGGAAGGAGAAAATGAAAAATTGTTTTTAATGGGTAGAGTTTCAGATAAGAAAAATTTTGGAGACCAATTGTACAATAATGTGTATGAATTATACACTTAAAATGGCTAAGGCAGTAGCTTTCATGTATTTCTCATCACAAAATTTTTAAATTATTTTTTAAAAAACTGGTACAGATCACAACTACAGGCCCACTTTGTATGGCTATTATAAGTATTGAGCTAATATTAGTAAGCTATTTAGATGCCTAAATATTTAGATGCCTATGATGCCTCGTACATAAAGTGCCACTTAACTGTTAGCTATAATAGTAATATGTCTCATCCCTACTTGAAATGTCAACGATATCCTTAGTCTACGTAGACGATGACGCCACAGCATTGATGCCATTAAACAGATACTGCCACTGAGTTGCTGACTTTTCCTCACCAACAGTTAATAACAAATGACTACTTGCCATTTTCCTGACAAGCCTATCTACTTCTCTAATCAGTCTGAAAACAGAGCCCTAAATCCTCCACTACAAACAACTAATAAAATCTGTGATTTCACACTTTGCCATATCTACCAAGACATCCCATCCCATACCTGGAGTACAAACTCCATTAGGCACCACAGCCTGATTATACAGGAGTTTAGTGAATATTCATTAAATGCATGAAAAACTTAATATTAGGAGCAAAGGATCTGAGGCAGAAAGTATAGGCCTGAGTTCTAATTTGGCCAAATCATCATAAAAATAAGGGAAAGTGAACACCAGTTCAGGTCCTCTACTTAGGAGTTCAATTGTTCCCTTGCAAAGAGGATGTGCCCTGTTTTTTTTTAAATCAGCCAAGCAAAGAAAACCTGGTAAATACATGCTTCATGCTTCTTAGAATGAAACAATACATAAATAATGAAGAAATACCTCACTTGTAGCCAAATTCCTTATCATGCCATATTAATTTTAGCGCAGCTGAATACCTATTTTACATTCTGGAATCAGAATACATAAGTGGACTACATACAGATCTTAAGACATTGAGCCCCTTCCCCACAGTGCTAGATAGACTGACATCTTTACAGAGACCACATGTGGAGAATGCAAAGATGGCCATGGTGCAGGAGTCTACAGAGCTTCCAGAAATGACCAGAGGCATGTTAAAATGACTCTCTGTTGCATCTATCTCAAGCACAAATAAGGGCACTACAAACACCCAACAATAAGAAGTGACTAGATGCCTTTTTGTGCCGGGTGCCATTCAAGATAATAGGCTCTGTAAATGATTCAGATGTGTTTCCTTTCTAAAGGAAAATATGGTTAAGCCAGATAAAATCATAATAGATTGGATAAATTGGGGGAAGCAAATTTCTATCCTGAAACAGACCTCTCTTCTTCTGTCCTTGGCTTGATACTGTTACCAGCTACACAGGGTGGGATGGCTTTGGCAGTTAAGGAGATTCTAAGCCCTCTTGAAAAATTCTACTTGGAGAGATGAACTGCGTGCTTAACTGCTCCTCTGCATCAGAAAAGATGAATAGGATCCAGTGTAGATAGAAAAAAGAAGTCAGCAAATTGGATTTCACTCTGAGTTCTGGGTTCAAGGAAGCCCGAGTTAGACTCTAGATTGTCAAGCCCCCTGGTTCTCGAATTATGGTCCCCCCATCCGCGTAGCAGAATCTCCAGGGAACTTGCTAGAAATGCAAACACTTTGGCTCTACCTCAGAGCCAAACTACTGCATTGTGAACTCAAGTGGGATTCAACAAATGATGCTTTTAATGTGCTCACAGTGACCCTTATGCACCGAAAGTTCAAAAAACACCAAGTCTTCCCAATTCACCAGCACAGGAAACTATATGAGGGTCAGTGCACAGTGTCAGCAGACTCAAATGAAAAAGATGCAATTAACCAGAAGCTCAATGAAAAAAAAATTTAAAAGAGGAAAAAAGGAGCACAGAAAAGAAATGTTTTAACGTCGAATCAAACAAGAAACCTATCCATGGACAGGTGGTGTGTCTAACAGCTGGGTTTAACCATCAGACAATCATGTCTTTGAAACAATCATTGTTTTTGCTTGCTGTTCCCTTTCAAAATATAAATACTGGTGAAAGGATTAAAAATCTAATTGCTTAACATCTGACTCTGACCAATATCATCAGATCCGAAGAGCAGAGCAGAAAATCACCTAAATGCAGCAGTTAGAAGTTACTGGCTACTAGACTAGACTTCACAGTTTTAACAGAAAATTTGGCAGTAAAACCTGCCTACTAAGCTTGGTGTGTCTGTAAATACAAGTCATTACCCTCTCTGTCCTCAGAGGTCTAAATGAAGATTAGTGCATTCCTTCATAGTTTGTGATTTTTCACAAATCTCAGTCCTTTCCAATATGAAAATTGGCTCTCTCAGAAACACCACTTAACAAACAGGTGTGCTTAATTCTTCTGTGGCGAGAAAGTCACCAGCCCAGGAAGGCACAGCCCACATCCCCACACTTGTCTTATGGACAAAAGTAGAATTGTGAGCAGGTAAACACCACCACCACCATGCCTTGTCTGATAGAGCACTAAGAAGATTTGTATTTCTGAGAAACTAAATTCAAAAGTTTGCTTCACTTCAACAGTCTACAAGATACCAAAAATATAATCTCATTCTGCTTTCAGTTCTGGTCATGTTATCCCTAGAAGTGAAAATTAAAAATGGGTGGTAGTGTCCCTCACCTTAAGGAATCTCAACTTCTCAGAAAAGAGTGGGAAATTGTACAAAGCATGTTTTCATTACAAAAGGGTTTACTAGCGGGCCCTCCTTGGTGGCACAGCGGGTTAAAGCACTGCACTGAGAAGCTAAAGCCACTTCCTCATGAGTCGGATCCCCACCTGCCCCGAGGAGCTCCACATGGCATGGCAGACCTCTCCTGACCCGCCCGCTGCTCCCCTCAGCAGTGTACTTCATCGATCTGCCTGTTCTGCTCCCTGCTCTGTCTCTGGTGAATCCTCTCACCCTCCGCATCTCTGGCCTGTACCCCAATTCTGTATGAATAAATAAATAAATCTTTAAAAAAAAAAAAGTTTATTAGCTTGATTTAATCCATACTCAATTTTTCTAGAAGGATTAAAAAAAATGTTTATTACTAGCACAGGAACCAGTAATTAACCCAAAGGATGGAAAAACAGTTGAATAAATATCTAATGAGAGTTAACAATTACCATTTTACTCTGAAGGATAATCTTTATCTTTTGTTGTTACTCACATTCAATATATTAAACTATTTTATTTATTAGTATATTTCAATACTATAGGTCTTACTTACATTTCACACAGTTGATACCCAGGGCAAAATTTTTCTGCTAGCCAAGATATAGAGAAAAATAGCTATCTCTTAAAAGAGATATGAGTATATATAAAAATAGAATCCTATTTTATTAATTGGTTAATTTTCCTTCACCAATAATATCTAGTTTACCTATTATCTGTTTTTATCAATTTTTCACTGACAGTTTTTTATCAAAGCAGCCCTGATATTAGGGTATCAGTTACTTCTCCCTGATTTAAACATATTTACGCCTATCTCTTATATGTTTAGTATGTTGGGCAAGTAATATCCTTCCAACTAGGCCTGTTTGTCAGGCCTATGTTGTGAAGTAAAACTCTACATCATGTTTACTTGTCAGCAAACCAAAACATTTCAATGAAGACTTTAAAGTGCACTGATTACTCACACAAAAACAAAAATAAGTAAATAAACTTCCAACTAAGTATATATTCTCCTTGGGTTCAAAGTTCAAGTCAATTATAAATTGTGTAATTATAATATTGTAACTTACATTAGACATACATATATATATATATATACATATATATATTTTGTATTAGTGCAGTTTTTTTGTAATCCAGGGAATCTTATAAAAAAGGAAATGTGCTTTACCAACCTGGGCTGAGAAACCACAGAAGAAACCAAACCAGAAATGCACAAGTGTGAATGCAAAATTCTTATAGAAGAAATAGCGTAAGAATTTGCACATTCGGTAATAAGACCACCGTCCGTGAACGAAGAGAAGCCTTTGGAGGTATCTAAACTGTGCAAATGAGTAGTCGCTGGCTAAAACAGCTTGGAGTCCATCCTGGCCGCTGATGCCAATGCCAATGTGAGCACCTACAGAGGAAAGAAACAACACTCTCACTCCCCAAACTTAAACATTTTCTTTTGCTATCTGGTCATTCCTCTTTTGCACTACTTTTACACTACTAATTTATTTACAGAAACCATATATCTTTAGCAATTTTAATTTTTCACATTTATTATCACATGAAACATTCATGATAGTGAGGTATTTATCCTACTTTTACGACAGTTTAGTGACTTGCAAAAGGTTTTGCAATTTGCAAGGCAAAGCTGGGACTAAACCCAAGTGTTGGGATTGTGGGTCCTGTGTGCATTTCTCCACTCTATAGTTATTTTCTAATTCAAATTAGATCAGGTCAGCTGAATTTTTGGCATAAAAATACATAAATAATTTAAAAGAAGTTGATGTTTTTCAATGAATGTTAATAATATTGGACTGAGAAAACATTCAGTTAAGAACCACTAAAAGGGCCCTCCTGGTGGTGCAGCGGGTTAAAGCACTGCACTAGGAGGCTTGAGCCACTTCCGCATGAGTTCGATTCCCTCCTGCCCCGGAGGTGACCACATGGCGAGGCAGACCTCTCCTGACCCACCCACTGCTCTCCTCAGCAGTGTACTTCGTCGATCTGCCTCTTCTGCTCCCCACTCTGTCTCTGGTGAATCCTCTCACCCTCCGCATCTCTGACCTGTATCCCGGTTCTATATAAATAAATAAATCTTTAAAAAAAAAAAAACCACTAAAAGAAAATTTCAGCTCTATCTCCAGTATATGTTCTAAAAGGCTGAACCTGAGGCAGGCAACATTCTCCACTGAGCAGCAGGCCTCTTACTTTTGATCATGCTGACATCATTGGCTCCATCACCGATGGCCAAAGTGACAGCTTTCCTGTGCTTCTTCACCAGCTCTACTACCTGTGCTTTCTGGAGTGCGGTGACTCGGCAACAAACCACAGTTTTGCACATGCAGGCAAGTTCTAGGAGATCTTTCTTGATGTCGCTTTCTAGGGCATGAGCCTATGTTGTTAAAAGTAATTCAAGGAAATAAGAGAAATGGGAAAAAATAGAAACCAGAGATGTCATTTGGGCAGGAAATTTCTTTTTTCTTCAACTGATTCCTAAACAGTTCAACTTGCTTCAGTATGTCTTTGATTTAAGGCCACACAGCAACAACCGTGTGAAATGAGTATTGAAGTCCTACTAAGGAGCATGGAATTTTACAAAAAACATAAAAGACATGGTGCCCTGTGTGTCCTCCTTGACAGATCATCACTCTGCATTGGAGAGAAACAGTTAAATGAGAGGGTATCCACACAAATAAGGGCAAGCAGGAGACACCATACCCCCGTTTCACCAAGTTTAGAAATGAACTATAAAATGAGGGTGATTTATTTGTTCTACCTGGTGAAAACTCTGTTTCCTTTGTGCTGTTGTTTTGTTTATCATCATGTGGTTGTTAATTATGTGGCCAAATGAAGAGTAGATAGTCTACTCAACAGTCCCTGAAGAATGTAGTATTTGAAATAAAAAGAGACCCAGCAAAGGGTGGCATGCAACCTGGGCCTCACACTGGGTTCCCACTCATTTCCTCAGTTATACCTCTAACCATGTAAGAGCCGTTCGTTGTTCCAAGTGGCTGAAAAAAAAGACTATAATCCTTTCCAATAAACTAAGCACATTTTTCCTAGAAAATATCTCTCTGTACATTTATTTAATTAACACATTAGGAGGAAACAGGACTCCCCCTAAATTTGAAGTCATCAATATCTTTTAATGAATCTTTACGGAGATAATGACAGCCCATTCCACTCTGACCCCTACACTTCTTTGAGTTGGTTTTAACACCACTTTTTTAAGTTTATAATCTGTTCCCATCGTGCTAAATTACTTGTTTCTATAACCTAACAGGGCCTTACTTGTTTCTGTGCTTTTGACTTGTGTCTCTTCTACCAGAACCACCCCAACCCGTCTTTCCCATCAGAAACTCAATGTGGTTGACTCCATGTATTCAAAGGATTGTGCTTCTCTTTAAAATATTTATCATACCATTCTAAAGGACACTCTCCCACCACAGCACAATCCCTACAGCAGAGGCTGTGACTATTTGCCTCTTCACCACAGGCGCTATCATCATGACCCAGACATGTGTCATAAAGGTTAGTGGTATGACTGGAAGAATAAGCTAGTAAGCATAAAAGTATAAGTAGTACAGACATTTCTCACATCAAGACCTATAATTGCTAGAGGTGATCGTGAATTAGCAAGCTCAAATACAATTGCCCATCTCTAAAAGAGAAAGTGTGCAAAACTGCTTTTCTGGTCCAGAATGACCTGCCTTCTTTCTTTATTATTAACAGGTAAAAATTGAGTCCTGAGAGAGACCCAATTATAGCCTCCAAACCACCAAGATTTGAGAAAACTGGAGTCATGATCCTTTTAAAGATTCTGAGCACACTTAAAGAAAATGGCATTTCATGGTTTCATCAGCTTCAGGCTTTGAAGCTGAAGGGGGTCTTGAAGAACATCCATCTCAGCTTTCTGTCAGCAGAGTTACAGACAAGGAGAAAACAGTGTATGCTATCACCTGAGTGCTCTAACCCCCCCACACATTGGCTTCTTTGAATCAAAGAAGAAGTCAAAGCATGTTACGCATTAGGAATCCTTTCCATAGTGTGGTCCCTGGGCAGTTCAGCTTGGCAGCCACTAGCTCCAAGTCCAGCTGACAGGCTTATAATTTTCAGTTGCTGCTCATTTGTGCAAGGGAGAAGTTCGTGTCATCTGGACAAACTTTCAACTGAGCTTGGCCTGCAACTGAGCTCTGTAACTTTCCATGGTGTAGAAGGCAACACATCATTATGTCTGGAATCCAGCTGGATAATGCTCTAAGCACTAAGAGCTAACAGACAGCTGATCACAGGGGGGTGGTGGGGAATACAATCTACTCAGCTCCAACTTCTTTTGTCCTCTAAGAAACTGTCTACAAGAAGATATACTTATTTTCCAAATCCAAAAGTGAAAAATGATCATTAAAGTCAGAGAAAGATGTGAGATTAGCTTTTTGTGCATATAAATGATAATTTCACTGGACTGTAATCAAGCTTTTGTTTTCTAAATTAGAAACTCAGAAGAGTGTTTTGATACTCGTTCAAGATTTGGAACCTGAACTACATTAAAAGTACAATACAAGTTTATTCTATTACGACAAGAACCAGATTTCCTAATCAAAGCAAATTGTTTGGCATTGCTATAAAATGCTGCTATTTAGAAAAAACCACCAAAGGTATCTAAATGGCAATAATTTGGTGTGGTAATTATGTGAAGGTCAGGTTGTGCTTTACAAATCACAAACATTAGCAAGAGCAATAATTGTAGTACATTCATCCACTTGCATTATTTTAGTTAAATAACAGTATGCTATGGCATTCCTTAAAGGCATTTCAACATTACTATTAAGCAGTCTATAACCATTTTGACAAGATTGATAGCCTGAATTCAGTATTTTTCAGATCCTCCCCATTACGGTAGTCATTCAAGCAATAATGTATGAAATACATATTAGAAGTTTCCTTTCCTCTTGCAAATAGGAAACCATAGCGTATACACTGTTCGTAACAACGTCATTTGTTTGGAAACCACAAAAGGAGATCTCATTTAAAAAAAAAAAAAAGACAAAAAAGACCATTTGGGGGTGAAAACAGAAAGAACAAAGCCTTAAGTGAACTCACCAAACTGTGACCATTTATGATTAAGGCATAATCTCCTGTTATGGTTTCTTCTACAACTGAGTCCAGCTCCAGCTGCTGCCTTTTTTCAGAAACTACATGGCCATTGGAAAAACTTCTGTTTTCTCCAAACAAATTTTCCTTTGCTTTCCTTAAAAGAGAAGGAGTGAGGGGGAGCAAATCAAAACAAAGTAGACGGGGCATACCTATTAGCTCTAACAAGAGACTGGCCTAGAGGTAATTTCATTTCATTTCATCACCATTCAGACAGACTATGGCATAAGATTCGGTTTTAGTAAGCAGAGTGGATAATTTTTTTGAAGGGGATACCATAGCAAATTTCCAAATTCCAGGAAGTAAGAGGGTAAACATCATGAAAACAGAATCATCTTGAATGTTTTAAATTACCTAAAAGCTAAATCACCATCCTGAGCTAGGTTTGAACTAGAAGTTCTTGGTAAATTTGATATATAAGGATGTCTGAGTTTTAAAGACTTAAGGACTACAAGTCTGGCATACGATATTTTTAAAGGGGAGATGAAAGACAGTTGTCTAAATCTTCTAGGAATTCTGGGACATCTGCATATAAAATAAATTCATCAATTTGCAGAACAATGTAATATAAACCAGTTTAAAACAGCAATTTCTAAGAAGCACATTTTTAAAACCTAGCTATAAAAACAAGTGATGGCATTTACTGAACTGGCATAGTCATTTTAATATAATGGAATATTTTAAGTGAAAATTAAATTCATTATCTCAAACAGGATAAATCATCTGGAATAGAAACTACAGACATCAAAATGTAGAGGGTCTTTCCAAAAGGAAACTCCCACCAATGCCCTAGATCTCATTAGCAGAAAAATAACCCTGCCCACATTTCTTCCAACTCTGTTGTTTAAGAAGTGGATTGTATGGTGACTTAACACCCTTAAGAGTGGCATTTTACTTTTAAAATTGGAAAGATGATGCTTTTAAGGGAAAAGAAATTCCCTCTCCCAAGACCCATAGAAGACAGGCTTGGAAGTAACATAGAGCAAACTGGCAAGACTGCGGAATTTTCAACCACAACTAGGGAACTACACAACACACATTTTCTGAAGATGAGTGCCAAAGTCAGCCACCAACACTTTGGGGCACAATATGCACATACAAAATGAGCACCCAGAGAAAATGGGGAGTGAGAGGCAGGTCATAAAGGAAACATTTTAGCTCACAGCAAAATGCTGTTGTTCCCCAAAGATTTGTCCTATGTTGAAGGCATTTATTAAAATGTGGCTCCTCTGAAAAAAAGACAATGCTCACTGTACAAAAACAACCATTGTAGCTCTCAGCTTTCTAATTATTTGAAAACGTAACATTTATTGTTTACATACTAAGTTAAAAACAAAAAACAACTCTTATCTTCTGGCTCAACATCTCCTTCTGCTGTCCAGGACCAAAATCACAGCCTGTATTTAGGAACCCAAAGGTTACATGCTCCTGGCTCCAAGGATGATGTCATGCATTTAGCAATCAGTGTGCAGAATCAAACACAAAGATTTATAAAGTCAGAATGCTATGTGTGAAAAGTTAGGCAGTTAGGGTGGGGAAGGGGAGAGAGAGCAGGCATGGAGAAATCATCATTTAAAGTGAGAGGATCAGACTTTTGTATCAGATAACCATGTCATGGAATCCTCCTCGAAGTCCTGAAAATTTGCAGTCCCATATAATGAAGAAAGCAAAAGAGACAACTTCCTCAGAAAGGAACATTTCTCTGACGTTGTTGCAGAGCTCATAAATTGAGACTTAAGAAAGCACCAAAGGGCAAACGCTCCTTAGGTTTCTTTTTTAGTAAAGTTCTCACTCGTTGTATAAATGACTCAATCTCTGTTTTCCCCCCAGAGAATGAAAACATTCCAAAAGAGGGTGAAGTTCAAGAAATCACTGGCTGAAATTCTATTTACTTGGGACTTTTTTTCCCTAAGCTGTCTTCCTAACATCTCACATGAACCCTTTTCCCAGGCAGAAAAGGGACAGATTTTCCAACTCTGTTTAAATCTCCACTCATTCCTTCCACAAGGTCAGCTTTCCTCGCCAGATTGGGCTTGTGTACTTTCAGACCTTTGCCCATGTTTTAGAAATATTATTTAATTTTCTTCATGGAACTTAGCTATTCAAACACCAGCTGATCCTTACAAAAAATTGTTATTAGTTAATCTCACAGAAACAATCACCAATTAATATGAACTCTTTGCAGACATAATACGCAATGCTTGATGACAAAATAGAAATAACAAGTGCTAAAACAATGCAGTTCCTATTTTTCCCAAAATTTATAATGAAGGGTTGTCTGTTAGTGATGGCACACAGAAATGCATAAATGATCGAGGGTAACCATGGGATTCATAGTCCCTTGACAGCACAAATATAGCAAAAAGCTAGACCTGGGCTAGTCTGCATGCAATCTATAAACAAAAGAGATAGGTGCCTCCCTGGTGACCTAAGGGAGCACTATCACCACTGCAACTTGAATTCAATCTCCGGGGCCAGGGAACAGACCCATATATAGTGTACCAGACCTTTCTGTCTTGCTCGCTGCTGCCCTCAGCAGTGTATTTCAGTCAATTTGCCTATTCTGCTTCCCAAATGTTTCTGGTGAATCCTCTCAACACCCTGAACCTCTGGCCTGCACCTCAGTTGTTGTATGCATAAATAAATAAAAAATAAATCCTTAGGGCCCTCCCTGGTGACACAGTGGGTTAAAGTACAGCACTAAGAAGCTAACGCTACT